AAAATGTAAATACTTTGCAAATCGATAGTCAAGGGTCAACATCTTCTTCAGAGACATTATCGCAACCACATAATGATACAGTTTATGTTCCACCAAAGAAAAAAGTTATTGAAAAAGCAAAAGATACTATTGAGTTACCTTTAAAAAGAGTAGTTTCTACTGTTACTACATTACTGTTGTTTATGCAAAAGCAAAACAAATATTGTTATTGTTCCTTTCGATGCAAGAAAACAAGCTTTTGTTGAAAGAGATATATTCATACCAGAGGGTAATAGATGTTGCCGAAAACACTTAATAAAGAAAAGATTTTATTCAGATGAGTTAATTAATTTAAAAGTAGTTTCTAATTCAACTACCACAACAGCTGCAGATATAACAAAACTATTTAAATCTTTGAGTTTAACTTCCGACAGAGAATTACACGATAGAATCGGAGATTTTTCAATCTCTGAAGAGAGGATTCGTACGTTTACTGGATTGAATTGGGAACAACTAATAGAATTGCGAGAAATGATGGTTTCGTTGAGGAATACCGACAATCGGACTGTTACGCAAGCTGTTGTTGTTTTTTTGTTCAGATTACGAACAGGAAACTCAAATGAGATAATCTGTTCTGTTCTCGGCCTTGATCGTCATCAGCAAGTCTCTGAATTTTCAAAGTCTGTGTTAAGTGCCTTTGAAAAAGATGTATTGCCTTCACGATTTGGTTTACAAGCCGTCAATCGAGGGGACTTGATTGCTAATAATTCAACGATTCTCCTTCAGAAGCTTCATGGCATAAGTGATAACAATCTTTCGTTAGTTGGCGATGGCACTTATTTGAAGCACCAAAAAAGTTCCAATAACGAATACCAACGAAGATCTTTTTCTGGACATAAGAAAGTTCCTCTATGCAAGCCATTTACTCTGTGCACTACAACTGGTTTTATTGTTGATGTACTGGGGCCGTTTTATGCTAAAGAAAACGATTCTATGATTTTGGAAAAAATTTTGAAGGCCCACGATAACAATTTAAAGAATTTGATGTGCAAAGAGGGTGATGTTTTTATTCTTGATCGAGGGTTTCGCGATATAAAATCAAAATTAGAAAATGATGGTTATCGGGTCCTCATGCCAGCCTTAAAAGATAAAAATCAGAAACAATTGTCAGCGGAAGATGCAAACAAATCTCGACTTGTTACCATACTTCGTTGGGTGGTGGAAGCGGTACACGGAGCTGTAGCTCAGAAGTATAAGTTTTTCCATCAGCAATTAGATAATCGTTACCTGACTGAAGCTGGTCTTTACTGCAGAATTGTTTGCTTTTTAATTAATCAATTCGGAAAACGAATCGTGTCAAGGGCTTCGACCGATAATGAGATACTCAATTACATTCTTTCAAGAAATTCCAATGAAAATAGTTTAGCAACGGAAGTGATATCAGGAAAATATAGTCGAAGAAAGAGTTTATTCAAAACGTTAAGGTCTGATGAGCTAGAAGATTTTCCTGAAATGATGGAACAGGATCTAGTCAAACTATTCACTGGAACTTACCAACTCAAACAAGCAATATCCTATTTAGCTGAAATGATGGGCGACACGTATGAAATAAATGTAAGTTACTACCGTGAATCTGCTGATCTAATCAAGTTACAAGTGAGATCTAGACATATCGAAAGTAAACAATACAACTGCTATATTCACTACAAACCAAATACCATTGGCTGTGCTGGCATACTGCGGTTTTGCTGTGAGTGTGCTAACGGTATGAGAACAATTGGATGCTGTTCTCACGTGGCTGCCGTTATTTATTATTTAGCGCACGCCAGATTCCAATCTTCCATTGTAAAACCTGCCCAACATCTAACAAAGATTTATGAACAAGATCATGTGGTGGCTGTTATTGAAGCAGATAGTGATGACGATTGATACATGTGATATGATTGATACTTTGATTATCTCAAAAGAATATTTTTTCTATTTTTGTAAAATGTAAACAAATTATTAAATAATCACAGAAAATTGATATCTATAGAAATTGTTTGTTGTCTTCTTATTTATTAGTCGCACACTAATCAAGTATACCCTTGAACCATGCTCCAGCTAAAAATGAATCTTTAAAAAAAAATTTTCGTAAGGTTATAAATAATAGTAACGATAATTTTTCTTATTCGATATTTTTTGAATGAATCGCTCAAAGTAAATCTTAGAATCAAACCAATACCACTATCGTATTTTGTGCCAAAAAATACATTGAAATCATGTATACGTGTATGATGAAAAAAACGTATGCTCTATTAGCCGGATCGATCGGCATAAGACATCATTTTCTTACCTGAACTTGTTAATGATTAATATCCTTACTGAAGTATTAAAAAAAATGTGATACACTTTTTCGATGTATTTTTTCACGTAAAATACGATAGTGCTACTGAGTTTTTTCATAAAACTCAACCAAAGACGCGAAAAACTTGATTTTTTTCTAGTTTTTAACTTCTAGCGCTCATGAGGTCAATTTTATGAAAAAACCAATAGCACCATCGTATTCTACGGAAAAAAATACATCGAAAACATGTATCACATGTTCGAAAACAATCTTGAGTTAACCTTGAATCGAAAAGGAATAAATATTTACACTGCCAGTGGAGCCGATCGGCATGGCCGATGCTATCATGTACTGAATTTGTGAAGGATTTTGATTTTTTCCATAGATGTGATACATGTTTTCGATGTATTTTTTTCCGCAGAATTTGATGGTGCTATTTGTTTCATCATAGATTTAACCTACAAAGCGCTAGGGGAGAAAAACTAGGTTTTTTGTTGATTTTTATTTTTTTTAAGGTCGTTCCACCACTTTTAAAAATCTGAAAAAAATCAGAAACATTTTTCAGTCAAAAATACACAACATATTTTTTTTCTAGCAAAGAGTCGATCTTCATTTTCGAAATATTAAATTTTAAAATTTTTGAACGGCTCTAAAAATTTGAATTTCGCGCCAAAAATTTTTGGAGCGCGGCCATTTTATAGGGCTTTAAAAACCCTACAATTTAAAACAAGAAAGATTTTTCTAGCTCAAAAACTGACCGAGATTTGGTCAAAAAACCAAAAATGACAAAACTGGGCCTTATAGGGACCTGTATGGGTTTAGGGGTCTGAAAATCTGGGAATCCTAGTCATTTTTCATGCTGAACATGGGGGTATAATTATTTTCCCGGATGACTCAAAGGCATTTTTGACCATTTTACCCTGCTAGACCCTTTGGTACACAATTGAGCAATACAAAATTTGTATTTTGTTCAGTGGAGATAACTTTCTTAAAACTGTATCGATTCGATTAAAACTTGGGAGATAAACGGTAGTCTAAACTTGCAATTTTAATGGTCGAAACACTAATAGCAAATGCGTGTCAGTGAAAAAAGAATAAATGACTTTCAGGAGAAGCCGGAATCGGCATTTTATTGTATAGTAATGTCGGACACTATCACAGCTTGATGACTAATTCATACCCCTACTTGCATACGGTTCACGTTTGCAATTCTTGATCGTAAAAGATGTATGAACAACAAAAACTTATCAAAATGTTAGACCTGTTAAATTAGAAGTATTTTTAAACGCGTTGTAAATTAAAAATTACAGCTTTCAAACAAATTACTAATAATATTCTAACATTAAGGCTACCTAAAATTTCTAATTATGACTAAGATGAATAAACTTTAGGAACCGTAGGTCTACCGAAGCTTTTGAAATATTTTCCAATCTTGGAATAATTTATAAGATGGCATGCAAAATAAAAGTTTAATTAATGCAGTGAGTACCAGAGTAAAAAAACAAAAAGAAAAAGAAAAGAAGAGCACACAAAGCACGCTACACAACGCTAATATGGATCAATATGGATAATATGGTAGTAATGGTGATTGTGATGATTTAATAATTTAATGAGAAAAGGTAACGTTCAGAATATTCATGCTATAACTCGCTGTTGTGACCCTTGATTTATAAGAAACATAAATGAGGTGGTTAGAAGTTCAAACGCAAATGTATATAATAATTTTGAAAATTATATTTTTCGCACGTCGAGCAATCTATTTCATATCCCAATTAAGCAGATCTCAATCTATTTTCTTCATCAAACTGAGGCAATGCTCCAAATTCTTTATACATACTCAAACTATTACTGATGTGAATTCAACAAACGTTTTTTGTCGAATTTGCCAAGCTGACTATGCGAGTAACAGATTTTAAGGATGTCCTTGTGATCGCTCACAACCGTTAATAATTCAACAGAACTTCTGCTGTAACTTTTATATTATCCGTCGGTCATGAATCTTCGCTTTTTTCGAATGCAACACAGTATCTGCCCGTCGAATGTTTTGAGCTTACTTTAAAAAGGTGCTGGATTTACGATTCTTAGCTAAAAAACATAAACTACGACAAAGTCTTCGCTAACTACTAAACTCGTAGTTCAACTAATCGATGATTTTATGAATAATTGCAAAGTGCGAAGCCGATACATCGGCTATTAATTGAATTCCAGTTGCTTGTTCAAGGCACTTCAGACCTTATACCTTGAGACCAGTACTAACTCACAAAGAATATTTAAACGAATCTATAGACTCCTGCAATAGACTTCCTTTTTATTACGAAATGTTGTTTGCTGACGATAGTTTTGATTAATTATATTCATTGTTAGCGAAGTAACAAACAACTGCTGACTCGCGCTGATGTTGACGTTGTTGTCTAGAATTAACAAAGATGATGGATTGACTCTTACGGTAAGATTGTTGAGTCGGAATCTCATTCCGATAATGTATGTGATGAACATTCATGATATCTCACTCCAAAATTTGCCAGGCCGAAAACTAGATGGCTAGCATGACTTTGACTTGAGAGTATTAAAACAACATTGCTTGCTGGGTTCTTAATATTTAATCTCGTTGTCCTGATTTGTGGTTTCTACTGTTACTGTTAGCGCTGCTTTGGATTATCAGTTCCATTACTCACGAGCAAGTGTTCAAATTTACCTTGAAGCTCGCCTTTGTCCTGCTGCTGCTGATGATGGAGATGCAGTGGATGATGGTGATGGTGTTGCTGAAGATGTTGATTATCAAACTGCTCCAAATATTCAAATTTGTTCTGCTGTCTGCGACCCGACGTACCGACTAGCGTTAATCCCGGACCGGAAGCTCCAGCATTCGCCAAGCACTGCCGCGTATATGGCCTGAAACTTGCGAGGTCAACTAACTAATGCCGTGTCTACGTTAAATGATTATCTTAGTCTCACATTAACTTTTTAACAGAGATTATATTTCACAGATAAATCGAATCAATAGTAGTTAATACGAAAAACAAGCAGAACAATGATTTATAACTAGTTGTAAATTAAATAATTATAAGAGCATTGGTATTAATGTTATTAAATATTGTGAGACTAAGACAATCATTCAGCATGACAAGGCTTTATGCATTTTATTATTTTATCAAATTCTCATGATAATTTATGTTCACAAGAGCATCAACAATACATATTAATACTTAAAGGAGCATGGAAACCCGATGATGTTTAATAAAATCGTGGGAAAGGTTATTAATTGGAATCTAATTCATGTTAATTTTTTAATATTTTATTTATAAATCTATTAAATCATTCTTTTTCTTTTCAGTCAAAAATTTTTCAGATAAATAATATCCTTGGTAGAGGCTAATGTTTGCTATAGATTCTTGATTTATACATTATATTGTTGAAATTTCTAATTTGGAGATAACTCCTTACACTTCTTTTTAATTTGGATAAATCTTTTAAAATTGTAGTGCTTATACATTACGGAAATTTTACTAATATAAGTATTTTTTTCGTTTTCCAGCTACAACTGTAAAATATGCTCACAGGCCATCTTTGAATTTCAAAATTGTCTCTATGAATTCATTTAGTTTATAAATACAAGTGATAACAGATAAAAACAATTTTTTAGTCAAGACCGCTAAATATTGTAAAGGCGATAAAAAAAACGATTCGAATAAGTTGTGAAGTATTAGACTAATATAACATAAATAAGGTGTATGAATGAAAAAAAAACAACTGCGACTCTTTAAATCAAACAATAATTAATAAGCTAAATAAATGTTTAATTACAGTTTAGAAGTATCTCATTAAAGATGAGATTTTTTAGTTTTCATGAAATTTCTTTCTTTCGAGTTGTTCTTATTTTGAATAACTAATGATTCAAAAATAACCATAAAGTTGTGAAAGATCCCAATAAGAAAAGAGCTTATAAACACAAGAAATGGCGTTAAAAGATACTCATCTCGGAAGGCTCACTATTTTATAGCTTCTCTATAAACACACAGAAGTTTTTCGTTGTAATACAATAGAATGAAGTGAAGTATAGTTGAAATAAGCCGAGATGAGACAGTGGACAGGCAAGTGAATCGCAACGGTGGTCGATAATACAATGCGCTGAGCACTTGGAGCAATTAGGTGAGTAAGCTCTTACTATTTAAAAAGACACAAGGGACGTTCTTTGCAGAGAACGCTCGTCGTGGCTTTCCTGCTGATTTTATTGCATCATCAAGATCTGAGGCGCATTGTCGTATTTTATTTATCACGAACTACCACAAATACTGACCTTGAACGATGCTCTTGCTCGTTATTAATTCCTGGTATAGGAGTTGGATTGTTTGCTGGTTGCAGGTGTGTTACTGCTTGCTGTTGTGGTTGCTGCTGTTGACTACTTGATATAGCTGGCTGCCTTGCATTTCCAAACTTCAGCATATTCCAATCAAACACGTAGTCATACGTGAAGCCTTGACTGTGAAATAGTGTCCGGAATAGATGCCTGAGATATGAGTAATCAGGCTTTCCTTCAAATTTCAACTCCTTGCAGTATTTCAAGTATGTTGCAAACTCAACTACTCGTTATGAAAAATATCAAAATCAAAGGATAACTTTATAATTAAACATATTCTAGGTAATATCAATAGTTAATCTTACCAGGATAACCTTTGCACAGTTCCTCTATAGGTGTAGACATTTTTTTTTCAGAAATACGTTCATATTTCTGTCTTTTTGTTGCTGCTTTAAGTCCTTGCCATGGAAGACTACCTCGATTAAAGTACATAAGTACATATCCTAGTGATTCAAGATCATCTCTTCGTGATTGTTCAACTCCTAAATGTGTATTTACACTTGCATATCTGTTAATTAATTCAATAATTACTTAATAATAGGTTGTACTATTAGCGGTATACAATCAAATTTATTGCATTTATATTACCTAGCTGTACCAGTGAGATTTTTATTCTCTCTGTAAGGTATGTGTTTGTTTGTTCTTCCATCACGATATTTTTTTGCTAGTCCAAAGTCAATAATATAGACAAGATTACCTTTCTTTCCTAATCCCATTAGAAAATTGTCTGGTTTGATATCACGATGGATAAAATTACGACTATGTATATAGTCTGTTCTACTTATCTGCCACACAAATTATTATAATTTATCACTACTATAAAAAATGGTATATTACATTTAAAATTAATTATCTACTATAATATTACAATAATTTTCTTTAAATAAAATCAGAACATTAAAATTTATTCTATTTTTACCACATTTCTAAAAATTTAAATACAATCCTACATGACGATGTTTCTAGACTGAAGGTTTATCTTCAAACTAGTTTATAATTTTAAGATAAATAATGCTTATCTTAATAAAACAAACAAAATATAAAACATCTACATATAAGTGCATTTCAATATTTAATAATGTCATTTAATTTATTATTATTTTAATTTTAGTTAGTTCAGTTTCAGTATGAACCTTCAGCCTATAAAAATTATAAAAAATAAATAATAATAGTGCTACTAAAATTTAAACACCTCATGATAATACTAATTTTATTCTAAACTAATAGAATAAACCATTTATCAAGATTTGATATAAAAAAAATTAAAAATTATCATGTAGTTGAATATAGAGCTAAGAAAAATGAAAATATTGTGTATTATTACTTATCTCTATAAAAACTCAATTTTATTTAAATATTAAACACTTTTTAAACTAGCTTTGAAGGCATTACTTACCAGCTGATCAGCCAGTAACAAAACTGTCTTCAATGAAAATCGTCGCGAACAAAAGTTAAATAGATCTTCTAATGATGGACCAAGAAGCTCCATTACCATTACATTGTAGTCACCTTCTGATCCACACCATTTTATAGTTGGAATACCAACTGAAAATAAAAATATATTTCTTAATATTGTACATACATAACTTTAACATACATAGTAGATATACATAGATAACTTAGTAGATATAAGATAAAGTAATACACAATAATATATTGTTTTATTATTTATTTAACTTACCCAAACCATATATAAGATTTATACAACTTTACAAAAGATATCAATTGTATTGCATAAGAATATTAAAAAAATTATTTTAAATTTTTTTCATGTAACACAAATTAAAATAAAAACAACAAATAATAACAAAAAATTTGTGTCAATTCTACAAAATACAAAGAAAAATACTGTAAATTATTTTCATATCAAACATCTTACTTACCACCCCCTTGCATCATCTTATAAAATCTAGACTCAATATGTAACTGAGGATGCCTGGTTTTGATGCATTCCAGCTTGATAGCAACTTCTTCCCCAGTAGAGATATTAGTACCTCAACATTAAAGGTAGAAAAAATTGATTAAAATGTATAAGTTTATGGCCAAGTACGAATCTGATATAGAGACAAATTAAAAGCTGATACCTAAGTAAATGTCGCCGAAAGAGCCGCTGCCGATTTTGCGGCCTAGTCGATACTTGTTGCCAACGCGTAACTCCATCGTATATAAAAATATGGGAAAGTATGACTTGCTGGAACTTTTGGAATCAAGATATTTGAAACTTCTAAAGAGTTCTCACGTTCGAATTCTGTATTAATAAACTATGCTACATCACTGTTTCTATTGATTCCGCAAAGGGTAACCTGCATGTCCATATCGCGAGTGACGAGTGTGGTGAAAGCAAAACCTGGTGGCTAAATGCTTCCTTGCCGGCAATCTCGGATCTATGATCTGGCTAATTAGCAACCTCGTAGCGAATATAGCATCAAGTTTTCACCTGTAATTAAACCTTGACTTGTTGCAGTGGTCAATTTGTTATGGCCAGTACTCAACAAACCTGAATGATTGCTGGCTGTCCAGCTCCTTAAATAAACTTCGGCCCTTACCGCCCTATTCAACTAAATGTAAACCAAGATGATCCAAGAACTTCAGAACCTCAGAAGATAACTATAGAGAGGATTAGAGATAGGATAGAGGAAAACAAGACTGCAAAGATGGCGCTGCAACGCCTTTAGTCACAGAGAATGTAAACCAGAGATAAAGTAGAACAGGGAGAATGGAGTTTGCTAAAGGTGTGAAGACTATCAAGATCAAGGCATGCTTGGGCTTGGCCGTACCGTGCGCCGGATTTTGTTCGAGCGATCCTAGCGACCACAATTGAAACCATGCTAATCTAGAAAAAAGGGAGTAGGAGATTGACAACCGAGTTTGCTGGATGAGGGGAAAAAAGACAGCAACAGATGGATGAGAAAACTCGGACATAAGAGAGAGATGAATGGGTTAGGGAATGTAGCTGCATTTTCTTATTTTTAGATATTTACGTTTTCTCTTCTCAAAGCCCAAATGAAAATTTTAGTTCAGCGACTGGATAGCCTTGTGGCGGTCTCATGGTCCACCCATCCTCACTAGATGGTGATCAGCGATGAGCATTCGGTCGCCCATCCCAAATCTCTTTTTCTCCTATTCATAACGCATCTAGGTCTGTTGTACACTTGTGGCTGTTATATCATTGTACCGTGTCCGAATTCCGCGTTTCAAATTAGTTTTGTTTAAAAGAGGGAAAATAAGAAAATTCTCAATTGTACAATATATAGTTATTGTTTGGTCATCAGCATATTAAATTAATGTTAGCCTCGGGAAGTACTGATTATATATTTTCAAGTACATTTCGATATGTAGCCTAGTAGTAAGAGTAAAAGTCCAAAGAAAGAGGTATTGTAACAAATATAATCTATATTCTCATACTATTTGTTGAAGAATTAAGAAAATTGTAAACATATCATAAATTGTCAAATCCTAATTAGTTTATTCTTATTTGAGTTCTGTAAATTCATATAGGTCATATGGTAAATTTAGTAAATTATAATTCTTGTTTGAAACATTTTCTTTATTATAGCTAGAACAGCTATCAATAAATGAGTCAATAAATATAAGATAATTATATCTAGATCGTAATACAGAATGGAAATTTCCAGAGCACATTAAACAGAATGGAAAGAGTTGACTTCAATCCAAACAAAGTCTAACACTGAAAATGTTGAAAGTAATTTTGAAACAGTGTCATAGTATGTTTAATTATTAAAATTTTATAGATTGATATTTATTGTTTCTAATTCTTTTTTAATTTAGATATTACAGGTCTGAACCAAATGCTGAAGTGTCAAAACATACTGCTGACGATAACAGTATCAAAGTCAACTCTTTATATTCCGTTCAATTTGCTCTAGAAATTTTAATTCAGCATTACGCTTTAGACATTGTCTAGGTATAATAAAGAATTTAAAATGTTTCAAACAAAAATTGTAATTTACTAAATTTACCATGTAACCTATGAACTTACAGAGCTTAAATAAGAAGAAACTAATTAGGATTTAACAATTTATGACATGTCTACATTTTTCTTAATTCTGCAAAAAATAGTATGAGAATATAAATTATATTTGTTAAAATACTTCTTTCTTTGGACTTTTGCTCTTACTACTAGGCTACATATCGAATTGTACTTGAAAATAAATAATCAGTACTTCCCGAGGCTAACATCAATTTATATCAAACAATAGCTACATATTGTACAATTGAGAATTTTCTTATTTTCCCTCTTTTAAACAAAAAGAACGCGGAATTCAGACACGGTATGATGATAGAACAGCAACAAGTATACAACAGACCTAGATGCGTTACGAATAGGATAAAAAGAAGTTTAGGATGGGTGACCGAATGCTCATCGCTGATGGTGATTGGTGTCGGCCATCCGCAAGCGGCAGAAATTTCGCCTGTTGAATTTATAAGCCTGTATAGCGGCTCGAATACTTTGAGCATATGAGGCAGATGTTATCAGCCGTCGAACCTCACTGACGAGTCCAGCCGGTAACACCGCGATGAAACGTTTCTGCTTTACCAACCGCATTCTTCTTCCCCCCTTACGAGTGTAAAGCTGGCTTAGTGTGGAGTTTCGATAGTTTACTTTGGAAAAAAGGACTCTGAGCTCCGAGTGTGCAGCGGACTTCAATGCGTACACCCAAAGAGCTCTTTCCTATTCCGCTCGTTCCACCATCCTAGTCTTTTGCATTCTATATTCATTACTCACGTCAAATGCAAGTTTTTGCATTTTAATTTTTGTTAAATAAAAATAAACATAAAAATAACATACAACAGGATAGACTAAATTTAAATATTTAACTGTATTTTTTATATATAATGACAGAACCAATAAGAAAAATATTATAGCACTTTTTCAATACAAAATTTTACATTTGTTTTTACAAAATAATATTGAAATTCTAATTTGTCATTATTATAACTATAAACTGTAATGTCTTTATTGCCACTAAAACTTAAAAAGTAGTTTTAACCTACAATATAACAATAAAATTTTTACTTTAATATATTTCAGACTACAAAAAACATATACGAGTGGAAAATAATATTATTAATGGGAATATTAATATTAGGAATAAGAAGTAATTTTGTTATTAAAAAATTAATACCAGGAAGAGGTTTTTGTACTTAAAATTATATGTTCATTTCCATAAATCAGGTGAACCATAAATGTATTCAAAACGTTGTTAAAACACCATTTCTTGCATTTAAAACAATTCCATGCATGTAAATAAAAATCATAAAATTACATGTATACACATTTTGATTATTCTTACCACTATCAGTTTAGCCTCGATTTTAAGATGAATAATAATAATATTCCACCTGAAAATGATTAATAAATGCCTCCTAAATGAATGATTTTTACTGGTAAGCTCAGCTCATATAATCTCAGAGAAAAATATTAGCTTGTGACTTCGCGCCAAATTGTACTCGAGAGCGGGAAACATGGAATGAGAGGAGAGCATATGGAAGTTGTCTGCGTATCCAGCTTCAGAGAGCCTTTTTTCCAAAGTAAACTTTCGAACATGGAAACTGTATACAGGAGGTGAGGCAGAGACCTTTTATCTAGGCAACTTTCTCTTTTTCTAGAGCACTAAAGATATAGGTATTCTAGAGCACTAAAGATATAGGTATTCTCATCCGCCATATTCGTGCCTCCACTGCAGCAGACAGTTTTAAAAATACATGTATTGAGCCGTTACTGTAAGTTTTATGCTTGTTTTTTTTACGTTTTTAAAATTATTTGTGACTGAAAAAGAAGTGATTCCATGAAAATCGTGTAATAGTAGTAGATAGCTTTTGATATATGTCTTAATACACATTAAAAAGCTACTTTTTACATCATAATTTCAAAGTTCGCTAGTCTCTACAGAGATTTTTTAGCTCCTCTGTAGAAACATTGAAGGTATGTTAATTATTTTTATCTAAAAACAATCAATCGTGATTTTAAAGCTTAACATTTCTATTTTCATATTTTTTAATTGTTTCTGAAATTATATCATGCACAGCATAATTGATAAATCTTAACTATTACTATCCTAACCTATAAAACCTATAAAGCTCTTATTGAAATTTATCAACAAAAATATTTTGTTCCATAGACATCAATGCTAAGAGCTTCACCAAATAGTCAAGATGCCTTGCTGTGCTTCAATTAATTGTAGCAACCGAGCAGAAAAAGGTTTTCGCTTGTTTGTTTTTCCAGCAAATAATGATCGACGCTCGATATGGATCCAAAATATGCGAAGAAGTAATTGGAAACCAAGTGGATCTTCTCGTTTGTGTGAAGTAATGCAGTTTTATTATGATAAATTTTAAAAGATATTTTTAAAAGAGACATACATTAGAGACAATATTTCTAAAATTATTTATCGTTTACTTTTTAGGTGCACTTTGAAGATTCTCAATTTGAAAGCAAACGTGCAGATGGTTGGAGAAAATTGAAGCCTAATGCTGTGCCTACATTATTTAATGTGCCAAATCCACCTCCAAGGATTGATCCTCTTCCAAGAAGATCAACTTATAAAAAACGTGATAGTGATTCTAACCCAAAGAATGCCCAAACAGTCAAAGCGATACCTTCCCCACCACTAACTATGGTTGAACAAGAATCAAATTCTATAGTATTAAATAGTATGAATGTAATAGATATTGATACAAACAGTTTATGTGATAATGGAGATAGGAATCTACCACTAGCAGAACAAATTAAAAAACTGAAACAAGAAAATGAAGAGTTGCGTAGTGAGTTAAAAAAAGCATTAGTAGTATGTCATGATGTTGTTCAACAAGAAAATGAAGAACTTCGTCTTAAAAGAGATGCTTTAGCCAAGTTTTTGAATAATGATCAGATAAAATTATTATCTAATGGTCGTTTAAATCAGTGGTCCAATGAAAGTATTATTAAAGGACTTAAATTTAGATTTGCTCTTTCAGTACATGGTTTTGATTTTTTGAGAAAGAGTGGATATCCATTGCCATCATATAGTACAATAATGAGAAAAATTCAAGATATGAATTTGGAATTTGGAATTTTTGAAGATGTTTTGGAATTACTAGGCTTTAAAGTTGAAACTATGGATGTAACTGATAAGTATTGTGTATTATCCTACGATGAGATGTGTATTAGCGAACAGTTAGATTATAACAAAAATTCAGGAGAATTTTCTGGTTACGCCACACTTGGACAAGATAAATCTTTATTAGGCCAAAAAATATTTGTAGTAGTTCTTAGAGGTATAAAAAATAAATGGAAACAAGTGATTGCTTGTCACGTAACTCGCAAGGAATCAATCGATCCACTTCAAGTAAAAAACTTTATTTTAGATTGCATTTCCAGTGTAAAAAAAATTGGACTTTGCGTTCTTTTACTATCATCAGATTTAGATGGAAGAAATAGGTCTCTTTGGTCATCTTTCAACATAAATGCAACAAAATTTGGCAAGCGGATAAACTCATTTTTTTATAATGGACATGAGATTTATGTATCACCAGATGTTTGCCATCTCTTAAAAAATTTAAAATCTGCTATGTTAAGACAGTTAGTGTACCTGCCCGCTGAATTTGTGGAAATGGAAAATCTGCCAACAAATGTTGTTGATGGTA